CTCTCTTTTTCTCTCTCTCTCTCTCTCGCTCTCTCTCTCTCTCTCTCTCTCTCTTTTTCTTTCTCTCTCTCTCTCTCTCTCTTTCTATATATGTGTATATAGATACTATTTCCAAAAACCTGCCTGAAGCACGTGTTTTGAGGTTTCAGCAAGGCGTTTCCTTAAACACCTTCAAAAAACCTTCCCGATGAAAGGTTTTAGACAGGTGCCAGGAAGGTTGTTCCCAAAAACACATTCCAAAAGCCTCCCTGAGGAAGGTTTTAGGATGGTTTCAGGATGGTTTAGTTATATATATATATATATATATATATATATGTATATATATATATTTATGTATATATATTTATATAACTTTCAAGCATCTCCCTGAGGAAGGTTTTAGGAAGGTTCCAGGGGGGGCTTTTGTTTCCAACAACCTTCCAATAACCTTCCTGGGGAAGGTTTTAGGAAGGTTTCAGGAAGGTTGCCCCAACAAAAACCCAAAAAACCTTCCTGGGGAAGGTTCTGGGAAGGTCCCTGGAAGATTTTCGAACCTTCCAACAACCTTCCCGAGGAAGGTTTTAGGAAGGTGTCATACAGGTTTTTTCCAAACACAACCTCCCAAAAACCTTCCGGAAACCTTCCGGATGAAAGTTTTAGGGCGGGAGGGGGGGGGGGGGGGTCAAGCAAGTTCCCCCCCCCCCCCGAAAGCCTTGCAACAAACCTTCCAAAAACCTTCCTGAGGAAGGTTCCAGGAAGGTTTTTCTAAAAAAACTATTCAAAAATCATCCCGAGAAAGGTTCTAGGAGGGTTCCAGGGAGGCTTTCGTCAAAAACCTCCCTGAGACAGGTTTTAAAAAGGTTTCAGGAAGGTTCTCGGGGGGGGGGGGGGGGGGCGACAACCTTCCCGAGGAAGGTTTCAGAACGGTTGTTCTTCAAAAACCATTCAAAAACCTTTTCTGAGGAAGTGTTTAGGAAGGTTCCAGCAGCGTTTCCCAAAAAACGTTGAAACAACCGTGCAACAACCTTCCATGGGAAGGTTTTAGGAAGGTTTCAGGGAGGTTTTTTCCCCAAAACCTGCCAACAACCTTCCTGTGGAAGGCTTGGGGAAGGTTTCAGAGAGGCTTGTTTCCAAAAGCAGTCAGGGAACTTTCATAAGGAAGGTTAGGATGGTTTCAGGAAGGTTTTTTCAAACAAAAAAACTTACAACAACTTTCCTGAGGAAGGTTTTAGGAAGGCTTCACAAAACCATCCAAAAACCTTCATGAGGAAGGTTTTAGAGAAGGTCCCAGGAAGGCTTTTCCCAAAACTGTTCCAACAACCTTCCGGAATAAAAAGGTTTCAGGAAGGCTTGTTCCAAAAAGCCTCCAAAAACCTTCCCGGGGGAGGTTTTGGGAAGGCTTCAGGAAGGCTTGTTCCCAAAGCCTTACAATTACTTTGACGGAAGGGCCCCGCATGAGAATCGGTGAGGCGTCCTGGCTGTGTCTTCTGCGTATATTGTTTCTCGCCTTGGCGCGGGCCCTCCCCCCGCCCCCCACGTTGCCCCCGACCTCGCCCTCCCGTGTGTTTTTTTTCCGCGCCCCGCCACCTCCTCGCCTTTCAATTGCATGAGCGCGCACGTCGGTGTTCCTCGGCGCCGTCGCCGCCTCGGCCAGCACAGGCGCGTTCTCTAATGGCCACGTCGCGCAGACGTTGGGGCAACCCCGCGGGCCAGGCTGTCGGGGCAACCCCGCGAGCCGCTTGCGCGCAAGACCAAGCCGTTGGGACAACCCCGCGGGCTTCGAACGGGGCGCAGCCGCGCTCAGGCGGGCAGCGCGAAGCCCAGCTCTGCCGCGAGCTGCTTCGCCTCCGCCCTGGACAAAACCGCTCTCTTGTCGAACTCCAGGAGCGCCTTCCGCAGGGACGCCGGCGGCCTTCGCTCCAGGAACTCCCGCCGCGGCGGCCGCGGGATCAGCATGTTCCGCATGCACGTGGCGCGGGAGAGCATGACGTAGAGGTGCAGCCACCACTGCTCGTCCGACATGCCCGTGCGGCCGGCGTTTGCGTCTCTCGCGCAGTCGATGTTGACGCTCTTGCGCAGCGTCTGGCCCTGCGACAGCGTGGAGGTCAGGTAGGGCGCGCGCGTCGGGGTGAACCCCGAGCGGCGCACGCTGTGCGCCCCCGAGCTCTGCCATGTGAGTTTCCTTTCGCTGGGCCTGAACATCAGCAAGCTCCGCGCCCGAGCCTGGGCCTGGCCGTCGTCGTCGGCGTCTTCGGCGCCCTGTCGCAGCACCTCGGCGACCTCTTGGTAGATCGGAGACTCCTTGAAGCCGTGCACCTGCAGCCAGATTCCTTGCGGTAGGAAGCGGGGGCGAAAGAGCAGGCCTGCCGAGCACTCCTCGCGCCGGTGCTCGTCCTCGTGGTGGAATTCGAAAGACACCACGGAGGTCTTATAAGTACATTAGTATGATGTTATAAATCTAAGACTGTTTTAGTATGTTCCCACCTGTCCTGCTGAAAGGAAATACACTTGTACGTTTAACACGTTTGGAAATACACTTGGGTTTCACTTCGCACTTGAAATGTACTTGAATGCGCCTGGGACCCCCGACGGGCCACCATCGTACGATGGCGGCCCGTCGCTCCCACGCGAGCCCCAACTTTTTTTCAGCTCTTCCTGCGCCGCCGTGCGTCCCAGTGGATACGTGCGGGGGCACGACCCAGAGGAAGCGCACAGGGGTGCGTCCCAGTGGATACGTGCCGAACACGACCCAGAGGAAACGCACAGGGTGCGTCCCAGTGGATACGCGCGGGGGCACGACCCAGAGGAAGCGCACAGGGGTGCGTCCCAGTGGATACGTGCCGGGAATAGCGCTCTGTGAACACGACGAACACAAAGTGGCTTACAGTTGGCTCCGGACATTCAGAATGTGGCCCGGGAGTGGTGTTCTGGGAACACGAACGCGAAGTGGCTTACAGTTGGCTCCGGGCATTCAAAATGTGGCCCGGGAGTGGTGTTTCGGGAGCACGAAAAACACGAAGTGGCTTACAGTTGGCTCCGGGCATTCAAAATGTGGCCTGGGAGTGGCGTTCTGGCAGCGCGAGAGCCCAAAAGTGGCGACAGTTAGAGGAATTGGATGACCCGCTCGGATTAGTAACGTGATCCGCGGGCCCCATAGGGAGGGGCCGCCCCCGCTTGGGACTTCCTCGGATTAGTAACATGATCCGCGGGCCCCATAGGGAGGGGGCTCCCGAATGGCGTTCTGGCAGCGCGAGAGCCCAAAAGTGGCGACAGGTACAGGAATTGGATGACCCACTCGGATTAGTAACATGATCCGCGGGCCCCATAGGGAGGGGGCTCTCGTTTGAGACGTCCTCGGGTTAGTAACATGATCCGCGGGCCCCTTCGCAATTCACTCACAGACGAGGCCCAAGGCGACTGAGTGAGTGAGTGACTGACTGACTGACTGGTGATGATGATGATCATCACACTCCCTCACGCGCACACTCATCATCATCATCATATGTGAGTTCATGAGCGTGTGAGTGAGTGAGTGTTGATGATTCAGTGAGTGAGTGTGTGAGTGAGCTAGTGAATGAGTGAGTGAGCGCACGAAGACAGAAGAGGAGAAGGGGTGAGGTGAGGAGGTTCCTGCGCGGGGTGTCCAGAGAAAACAAAAACCCCAGTTTGGATGTGGTGAAAAACCTTCCTGAGGAAGGTTTGAGGAAGGTTCCAGGAAGGTTTTTCCCAAAACCTTCCAAACAACCTTCCTAAAACCTTCCTCTGGAATGTTTTTGGAAGGTTTTTGGGCCAACCCTTCCTGAAACCTTCCTGGGAAAGTTTTTAGGAGGGTTGTTGGAAGGTTGTTTCGGAAGGATTTAGGAAAGTTTTAGGAAGGTTGTTCGGAAGGTTGTTTGGAAGGTTTTCGGAAGGTTGTTTGGAAGGTTTTTGGAAGGTTTTTGGAAGGTGTTTGGAAGGTTGTTTTGGAAGGTTGTTAGAAGGTTGTTGGAATGTATTGGGCGGTTTCGCTTATTTCACGAAGGTTTTTGGAAGGTTCTTGGAAGGTTGTTGGAAGATGTTCGGAAGGTTGTTGGAAGGTTTTTGGAAGGACTTTCCTGAAACCTTCCTCGCTCCCCCCCCCCCCCGGGAAAACCTTCCTAAAACCTTCCTCAGGAAGGTTTCAGGATGGGTGCGTCGGAACTCCCGCACCGGTCTCGCGAAACTGGTGGCGAGTGGTGGTTGGCTATGGCATGTGGTTTTTGCTCACGGCAGGGGTTATGCCGTGGACCACCCCAGAACACACGCACCGAGAACCGCGGGCTCCGGCCCACCCGCGCAGGCCCACCTGGGCCCCGCCGCGGCGGTGCCGTGCGCTCGCTTCTCGCCATGGACGCCTACGGGCATCGAGTGAGACTGCGTGGCGGGAGCGCGAGCGTGGCTTCTTGCGGCACGGCTCGCGTGGCCTGCGCGTCTCTTGCGGTCGCTTCGCGCCTCACGCCGAAGGCGGGGCACCTCCAGCCTCGGGGTGGCGCCTCGCGTGGCGCGCTGCGGCGCTGCACTCGCGCCTGCCTCCCCTGAGTGGGCGTCCGCACCGCCCGGCAATGGCAGCACTTCGCTTCGGTTCGCATCTCGGGAGCGAGAAGTGTGAATGATGCGCTGCAGGATCTCCAGGTGCTGTTTTTCCTTCCGTGCGTCTCCTAGGTACGAGGGCCGCTAGATGCCCTGGAATTCCTGGGAAGTATGTATGTTGAGACAACCGTATAATGTCATCGTGATCGTCCTATCCTCCTCCTTCGAGACTTGTTTTTGTTCTCTGGCGCGTAACGGTCGCTACCCTGGCCAAACCCCATTCCTCCTCCCCAGGTAACGATAACGATCTTACGAAGGGGGTTGCCTGGAACCCCACTCCCCGACGTGTCCAGGAGGGAGCCTCAACCCCCCCTCCCCCTGTGTAACGATCTTGCCGAGTGAACCCGCTAGAGCCCCCTGAACACATGTCGGCCCTAAAGCCTTCCGTCCTCTCCCTCCTGGGCCCACTCCGTAGCCACTTGCTGAAGCCGTTCCGGGTCGGGCCTCGCTCACGCTGGTCCCCGTCGGGCCCCCCTTCTCCAGGTGGCGCCAATGAGGGCCGGCTCTGCAGCCGCGCTGCTCTTGGCCTCGGCGGCCGCTGCCGCCTCTCCTGTGGTGGTGCCCTTCTCCCTATCGGACGCGGAGGGGCGAGACCTGGTCGCCGAGGCGGCGGCCCTGGAGCCTCCCCACGGCCTAAGCGGCAGCGGGCAGGGCGCCCGCCACGTCTGGGCGGCCCTCTCGCCGACCCCGCCGCTGCGGCTACAGTTCGAGGCGCACGGGCGCTCGCTGGACTTCCGGCTGTACCGGACTCCCCCCGTGTTCGCCAGCGACGCCGTGGTGGTGGCCAGGGGCTTGGAGCTGCCGCTGGCGGCCAAGCAGCCCGTGTTCCGCAGCAGGGACCACACCGCCATGCTGACTGCCGTGGGGAGGCGCATACTCGGCGCGGTCCGGATCGGGAGCGAGCTGCTCGAGATCGAGGCGGACTCCATCGCCGGAACGCTGACCGTCAACGGGCTGTCCAGCGGCGGCGAGCGCTCGGCTACCGCGTGGAATGTGACGGGATCTGGTGGGCGCCGCTTGGAATTCGCCCCCGACCAGATCGAACAGTGGACTGACTGCTACACGAACGACGCGTCGACCCGCGCCATGTCCATGGGCGTGGCTGTCGGGACCCGCCTGTACACCACGGAAGGGATACTGGACAGCGTCGACGAGACCTTAGATTGGCTGCAGTCCATCTTCGCGTTTGCGAACATGATTTACACTCCCCAGCTTAATTTCGTTCTGACAATCTCGGACGTCTACATCCCAGCTGCGAGCGGGGAGACCGTGTCCTGGGACGACTGCACCCTGGGGATAGATTCTCAGCTTGCCGAGTTCAGCAAGTGGAACCAGCGCTCCAGGCAGGGCCTGTGGCACCTCTTCGACAATTGCCATGACCTGAATCCTGGACCCATCGGCCTCGCCAACGTCGGGACTACGACCGCGGGCGTCTGTGAGATGGACAGGCGGTGCTATGTCATCAGCTCAGGCGCCCCCTGCGTCGAGAGCTACTCCAACACCGGCGTATCGTGGTATTCTGACAGCACTTGGAAGACTTTCGCCCACGAGGTCGGCCACAACTTCGGTGCCAATCACGCTTTCGAGAATGGGCAGGGGAGTACAGGAGGCATAATGGATTATGGGGACGGCACTCTCAACGGCATCTTCCAGTTCAACACAGAATTCACGAAAGATGATATTTGCACTGTAATATCCCACCGTGTCGATCAGGATTGCGAGGCCATTACAAGGTACGTGGCCGTGTGTGGGGACGGGATGGTCGATGCGGCCGAGGAGTGCGAATGTGACACGGGCACCAGCTGCGCCTTTTGTGAGGACTGCTTGCTGGCAGAGGGGAAGGAGTGCACTCCAGACGGTAGCGACTCACAGTGCTGCACTTCAACCGGGTTCTTCGAGTCAATCGCTACTCAATGCACAATGCCTGGGGGAGCAGGCACTGGGTTCTGCCAGCTCGGCACATGCCAGGACACCTGGTGCACGAACATCGATCATCCGTCATTGGGAGATTTCTGTGGCCTGCATCCTGATAACGAGTGCAAGGTGAACTGCCTGCTCAATGGCGACTGCAACGCGTTGGATGATTATACATGGCTGGAAACTGGAGCTCCGATCAACCACAGGGAGGATGGAGGCTTGTGCAGCGGTGGCGCAGGGATCTGTATTTTCGGTGCGTGTGTGATCGGGGCAAGGGCCACAACCTCTGGGTGTGCCTGCGAGCAGTCGTGGTCTGGCGAGGAGGGAAGCTGCGAGGACTACTGCTGCAATCCCGACAACGATCCCGGTGGCGAATGGTGCTACACGGCCGACAGTTGTAGTGGCTTGGATTGGGGATATTGCGCTGCCGATTCCAGGAGTGTGGCTGCCACTCCCAGCACGACGATGCCCTCGCTATCGCCCACGGCGGCGCCCACCCCTGGCAGCACCACTGGCGGCGGAGGAGGCGCCACGCCGACGCCGACCCCGACTTTGGATCCCGGCGCCCCGGGGGGCGACCCCGACGCGGACGCGGAGATCGACCAGGCCCCGCGCTCGGTGGGGCTCGGAGCCTCCGCGCTCCTTGCAGTTGCCGCGGGCGCCGCTGCGGCTGGCCGTTGGTGAGCGAGGTCTGGACAGGGGCGCTCCCTGGCAGCACCAGTGGGGCATGCCTCCCTGCCTCTACGTGTGCAGCCAGTGCCGCGGAAAGGAAGATGCACTTCCCACAGGTGCTTCCCAGAGGTTTCGTTCACTCTGGGTCTGGGAGCGCCTAGAGGTGCCTGTGCCATCTGGCTGGCTCGAAGACGATACCCCGCTCCCTGACTTCCGCATCCTGAGAGTACTCATCGCTGGTATGGGCTGTGCTCTTTTTACTCTGTCTCGACGTGCTTGCAGAACTGCCTCGGCGGGCATCTCCAGGAACGCCTCCTAGGGCCC